ATTTTTCAAAGAATTTGGATGCAACGTTGAGGCAAACGTTGTTTAGTTTAATCTTCTGCATAACATATATTTTTTTCAGGGGTGCCGAACGTTTGGGCGTTTGGGTTCGGGCGTTCGGCCCTTCTCGAACGCCATCAACCCTGTATATTTATTTATTTATTTATTTATTCATTTATTTATTTACTGCCCACTTTTTCCCCGCAAAAAATAAATAAATCATTGTGAAAAGAAAAACAAACAAACACCATTTCATCTTTTTTTTTCCGGTCTTCTTCTTTCTGTTTCTGTTTTCAAATTTTAACAACTACATTTTCAAATTTTGCCCGCTGCCTGCCCTGCATGCAGCATTGCACTGCCCGCCACCCCTCCCTCGTGTACCACTGCCAGAATGGGCGTGCAACCACTATCCGCCCCTCCTCTCTCTGTCTTCTCCTCCCCGGCCGCCTGGGCTACATCGGCAGCGCACTGGTCCACCAATCGTGTACCGCTAACCACACCCACCTCCTCCTGCATGACTGTGTCTCCACCTCCCGCCGACTGCCCCTGCTCTACTGTGTCTCCACCCCTCACTGCCTGCTCCTGCACGACCGTCTGTGCACCTCCCACCACACCATCCAACACGCCTGTAGCTAGTCATCCATCTGAAACACTCCTTCCCGCAATGCCCGTGCACCCCGTCTCCAACGCGCATCTGGCATACATCTTGCGTGCTATGGCCTGTGTGCGTTGGTCCACATCCGCTAGGGCCTTGGACCTGCTGGCCGCCTACTCGTCCTCGCTGCCCTCTTGAGCTATGAATCCCCCGTGGCCGCGGCCAGGGACGGGCAAGGCCGCGCCCCCGAAGCCATGAAAATAAATAAATAAAATAAAATCAGTTTTATAACCTCGCTGTTCCACCAGTGCTGACCATACGTATACAGAACAAACCACAGCATTGATCAATCCAGCAATTAGAATTGACAGTAGACACAAGGTGAGTTCAACAGCGTACCTGATCGCGCATACTCTCTCTCTATACGCACACACACGCACACAATCAGTTTTTTAAATGTTCGAACCTCGCTGTTCCACAAGCGTTGACCATACATAGAAGAAACCACAGCATTGAAATCCAGCAAGCCAGTTAGAATTGACAGTAGCCGCAAGGTGAGTGGGCACGTCTAAGAATCACTCGTCATCGTCTATTTTTTGAGTCCCTGCAATACTGCAAGTGGGGGGGAGCACTCTCTTCAGAGTGTGTGTGCTGGTGCATACCCCATGGGTGATGGCGGACATTCGTCAGAGTGGCTTCCTGCCTCCAAGGGTGTCTATTCCAGCAGGCTCTGAGATTCCACTTGTGCTATGAGTAGCTGATGCAACCGTCTGTGTGTCCAATTTCTGATAGCCATCTGCTTGTCATGTCTCTCTTCACAGCTTTTTTTTTGTGCATCCTAACTTCCTTGTCAGTTTGGACTTGTGCATCACTGAATTGTTTCCTTGCCGCCCGTCCACGCCCTGCAGTTTGCTTGTGTTCTGTGCAGTTTAGCTGCTTTGTCAGCGCCACCCTGTGCTTCACTGTGATGTTTAGTTGCTACCCTTCCCCTTACCTGTCTTGCCGCGGAGTTTGCTTTTGTTCTGTCTAGTTGTGCTGACCCCTTACCATGTTGCACTTGCGGTGTTGCCTCCTGGCTGTCAACTCTCGACAGGGGTTAGAATCATATCACACACAGCCCGCACACACTCATCTATATGCACCCTCCACCACACACACACACACCCCTGCTCCCAAGATGCCAACCCCACCTAAAAAGATGCCAACCCCACCTAAACGAGAAAGGAATCAGGTAGGGACTTCCAATCTTCTCCATGAATCCTCCAGCGCATTCAGCTAGTACTTGGACCAAACGGACGACGGGATAGAGGACAACGTAAGGAACATGGTTTTTTCTTATTTCAAAGGGTTATATTGTGTTCGTGTTCTTCTGTCCCTTCTTTTTTGGCCTATTTGTTTTTTTTTTTATACGAGTCCTACGAGCCTATATTTGATGTTTCCAACGTTTTCCAGTGTTGCTTGTGGTGACACCACAAAAATAGCAATTCTTTGGCTATCTGTCAACCATCCCTCCAGAATCACACAGTTGAGTGAGTGTTTAATAGTCCATTACTTGTTCTGTGTCCGAGTTACGCGCAGGGATTACTAACCACTTTAAAACAGCCAGTTTTTTAATGCGCAAATCCATGGCACGAGGAACATCTGAAACCATAGGTGGCCGGTCCGCTACGTCTTTCATACTGCTGAAGTAGACCACCATGGCAAGGCTGTAAATCATTCCAAGGGAAGTACAGTTGACATCAGAGGGTTCCCGGTACTACAAAGGGTTGCAAAAAGATGATCGAGGAATGCTTTGCAGACAAGATTTCCTCGTGCCCCCTCCTTTACACACAATTACATTGCGCCCCTCTCTCTCTCTCCTTCACACACAATCACATTGTGCCTCTCTCTCTCTCACACACACACACACACACACACACAGCAGAATAGCTCATGAATTAAATTATGCTCGCCTTGCAGAAACTGGATGAAATTGTAACGAGGCAATAATCTTAAACAACCAGTACCTCGCTCAGCCATCAAGTCCGAGGTTCGGACTACCGGTAGCCCGATCATTCCCGAGCCTTGGACAACCACTACTGTAGTACATAACGAAAAAAAAAAAAAAAAAAACACAAAAAAGTTGAAAAACCACAATAAAACGTACAACATTCTGCGAAAAAAAAAATAAAAATAAAAAAAATCAGACAAGCCCAACGAGAATGCATCTTCCTCGACAACGAGGAGGATTCATTCTCGTGGCAGGAGAGAGAGAGGGCGTCAGAGTGTCTGACACCGAGTTGGTGCGCCAAACTCGGAGAGAGAGAGATGGGCTCTTTTAAAAATAAAAAAATAAAAAATAATAAGAAAAATGAACGCGGCAAATTCGATTCCGTGTTCAAACGCCAATTCGAATGCGACCGCGCATTCATGGCATTCAAACGGTCACATGGTCAGTGTAACAATCAAAAACACATCGAAGCACATGACATCACAGAATTGTCATTTACCACCCTGATGAGCACACCCAGTAATCATCCATTTTGCAATAACCAGGCCACCATGTGTACATCGATATGTGCTCTTTTTCCTCTTCTTCCAGCATTCGAAGATCTTTCTTCCCTCCTGAGCTTGCCCCTCCACATCTCCAATACACCTCCGTGAGTAGACAAACAAATTTGCATTGCGGGAGTTCAGGGACTCATCACGCATTTACTCTTCACAGACCTTCTCCTTGCTTGTCCACGTGATTTTGACGAGTGAGAAATGTTCAGCTTGTATCAAGTACATGCACGAATACCTTCTCAATATACTACTTCAGATATTCTGCCGTACATACTTCTGCAGTTTACGTTCTACAGATACCTTTAATGATGTAGATGCACTACTTATGGGCGAGTATTCTGCACCAAAGATCTAAGTGGAGCAACACGTCGTATACTACTGCGCTATGATTTAGTGAGAGAACTGTTGTGTGTGCCATGTTCCCCATGTGTACACAGTCGCGCACAGCCCATAGACAGGTGTACACATTCCATGTCCGCAAAGGGCCCATGCATAAATGCTGTGCAACACCCGGTTCTACAAGACATGTTTCACAACACTGCGTTCAAAAAGATCGGTTCCGCGGTAGGTTCGACAGCACACCATATTTTCTTCCAGTGTTTCGACTTTTTTCAACCATCATCACTGCTCTGACTGGACCAGCCACACTCAATTGCTTGCCGGTTTAACTAACCCCACATCCGGGAAAAACAACGTTAATTTTCTATAACAACAAACGCGCAGAAAAGGCCCAAAGAGCCTCCGCTTAGATTTTTGCTCCGATCCCAGCCTGGTAACAAACTTGTTCTGGGAGGAGAGACGATGGCGATGATTTTTTTAGCAGCAAAGACCCACAAGAGGCAGGCTCCTTGCCACAGCTCTCCCTGGCGCTCTTGCTGCTCCCTTGGTTTGGCGGCGAATCGCAACGAGGCCTAAAGGCCCTAAACCAGGAGAACCTACGCTGTTCCAAACAACTTTTGGGACTAGCTTCCCTGTTCCAAAGAGTTTTGGCCAGTTCATCTGAACAGGTCTTAGCAAGGATGAAGATCCAATCCGCCCCAAAGTTTGCTGAAATACAGGAGACCCTTCGTCGGTTTACGAGGGTGCTAAACACGCTTAGACCACGGTACGCAACAAGATCAAATGAGAAACTGGATTTGGAGGGAACAACGCAAGGAAATAACAAACAGACTCACAGAGCAATAATCGCGTGAGCAAAGACTGAAAGAAAGGGAGCATACTGACCTGTCGGGACCACCTCATGCCCGGTCTGCCACATCCGTAAGGCAGCACCACCAAAGGACAAAAGAGGAAATATTCACAGGCATCCGCACTCGCTGTCCCATATCCATTAGGCACCGCAGGCTGATAACAAAGAAAATCTTACAGGCCTCGACCCTGCCCTCCGGCATCCTAGCCCCTGCCACCGAAAATAACAACGAAAACGAAATACGAAGAAACAAGAAACGGGTACAGAGAGGTGGGAGGGCTGTTTCTCATGCCCCTCGGGAGAAACAGGTACCAAAAGGAACTGAACTTCAAATCTTCTGTTTCTGTTCTCTGTTCGCTTGTCCATTTATCTCGGCAGAGATGGGCGAATCCGAGGCACTAACTGCTGTCGGGCTTTTTTAAAAAGGGAAAAAAAAAAAAAAAGAATCATCCAAGTGAGGCCTATTAGTGGAGGTGATAGGAGCATCCCCCACTAATAGGACCCCGGAAGAGGATGTGGCTCCATTCCATTGGTGGGGAGCTGCACCAGCAGGAAAGTGGGTCCAGCATCCCCATTTACAAAACTGGTTCGGCAGCCTTTACGCGTCAGAGTCAGGGAAGCCACCCTTCAGGCAAGCTTTGCTAAGAACTTGCATTTGGATTTCGATAATAATAACTGTGTGTGAAAGGTTCATTTAGATATAGAAGTCGTTGCTAGTCGAATGGCATAGGAAAAGTTTCACCCAGTATACATTCTGCTGCACTTTCGCTAGTTCATTGGCAACGCACAATGGCCTGCAAGTTCTCCGTTGCGCTTGGCTGAACAAAGCATAGGATGCACAACCTGCGGATGCAAAACAAATGCTGCGTCGATGAGTGAAAAGGCAAATTGATCGAGAAAGATCCACAGAAAGAAATACCCAGTATCCATCCACCAGCTCCATAGAGAGATGGTTCAAAGAACAATGAATTGCACGAGCAAAACGAAAAACGAGACGGAAACATTTGAAAGTGAAATACAGAGGCACGGCAGTGGTGAAAGAGTCCTTCCCTATTAATGGATGAAGAGGCACACCTGGACGACACGCTTTTTTATCATGAGAACCCAGACGACACATCTACCCGTCCATGTGGTCGAACCTCTGCGGCCCCGCTTCGCAGACGATATGTTGGAGGTCAGGACGCATAAAAGACGAATGGCGTCATTCAAAGCCCACTTTGAATGAAGACGTGAACCATTCTTCAAGGGCGTACATGGCCCAAACCAAGGAAGGCCCTGCCACAACAGCTCCCAACCCCCCCCCCCCCCCCCCCTTAAACCCATCCCCCTCCAATTCCTGAGCAGAGAAAGCCGACCACATCGCGTCCTGGTACAGATGCACAAAAGCAAACGAGACATAGGGTTTCCGAACACACACACACAGCCTCTTATCAGGAAGCTATATGGTGAAAACACCCCTCTGTCGGCACCCCCTCGAAGATATATCAGCTAAATTCTCCTCCCCCCCCCCCCCCCCCCCCMCCYCCCYCCGGTTACCGCCTTCTGTCTCTGTGTATTCCTGGCATCTGGCCAAAAACCGCGAACAACTCTTTCTAATAATTAGCACACTGCTCTGTTCCTCCATGCTTCCTGAAAAATGAGATAGCTGTTAACACCAGCACCTTTCAAACTTTCATTTTTCTCCAAGTTGAGTACTCTAATCCGGAATCGCACCAGCATCGTTCAGGTTTCCACAGACCAATGCACTTGACATCGGTACAAACCCAAGGGGTCTACCACAGCCACGTAGAGTAGCACTGTCGTAGAGATCCGCTTCATATGCAACTCCCCTGTGTTCCGCCATGCTTCCCTCTCCGTCCGGAATCGCACCCCCTGGAGTTCTCTTGCTATCACCGAACACACTGTGCAGGATGGTAATGCCTTCGCTTCAACATTCTCTGTGCCCACGGACTCACAATTTCTCTGACCCGCCCCCCAGCTCCAAAACGACCCGACAAACAACCTTCAGCTCCCCCTCCTCACAGCGCCACCAAAAGAATGACAAACTCACTCTGCTTCTTCTCAGGGTGTGAATTGCAGCTCCTGAACATGTAATACTCTTGTTCAATGTTTCATTCATTGTCTTGATTTAGCTCCCCTCCCCCCCCCACCCACCCCCACTCATGTTCCCAATCACCCTTCTCGACCAGACCGATATGCACCAAATGTCCCAACTAAACCGCACAGCAGCAATGCAGATGACCGCATCTCCCCTGTTCCCTCACCGACAAGAAAGACCAACCAAACTACTAGGAGGAGCCTGGTTTTTACAGCTCCCACACTAACTACGTAACTGTACACTTCAGAACACTCAATGTAAGTCGTGCCACAATTTCCCCACACCCATGCAGCAGACGAGTGTCGAGGACCTCTTTCAAGTCCCCCACACTAATGCAGCAGACGAGCATCGAGGACCCCTTTAGAAGGTTCCAATGGGATACACTTTCCCAAGGAGCCATGTCGGCATGGATGCCGTTCAGTAACTGCGGCCATAGTCTCCACCCCTCCCACCATAGTCGCGACCACCTGAATCTCCACCCCGTCCACCAAAGCCCGGATAATCGCTACCTCCACCCCTGCCCGAGCTGTAGTCTGTGCTACCTCGGCCACCATAACTGTAGTCCCGTGACCCATACTCATCTCTTCCATAGCCTCCATTTGAAGTTCCGTACCCCCCAGCATCCGAGTAGGGATAGCTAGCTGCGCCGCCACCGCTGGAATAAGTGGCGCCACGATCATAGCCCCCACGGTCATACCCACCACTCCCACTCCGCTCATATCCACCCCCAAAGCTACCACCATAGCTTCCACCACTTCGTCCACCACCATAATTTGCTGGCTGTGGGCACTCTCTAGAGAAGTGTCCCTCTTCTCCGCAGTTGTAGCATTGTCCTCCGGGCCGTCCTGCTCCCATTCGACTACGACCTCCTGGAGGGGGGGCGACGGGGCAGTCCCTTGAAAAGTGACCAGTCTGACATTCACAGACCAAACAGCACAACCTCGTTAGAACTCACAAAGCGCTCTCCCAATGCAGAACACTTTTACACCACCATAATCTTAAGAAATCAGAATTCCATGCTCCCATTAGCAAATTTCAATCATTGACCGATAATAATACTCACACTGCCACGCATCAACAGCTGCATCTCAATACGGTGTGCAAGTGGCCTCCAAAAGTTTCTACATCATGAAGTTCTGGGATTACTCCCCCAATCGAACTACCACTCCTAAGAGCAGAAAGAACATGTTAAACAACCAGGTGTTCCCAGCGGTTCTTTTTTCAAAGCTGATTTTGCCCAGGCCTACGAAATCCAAACCATCGTGCCACACGATTATAAAGGCCCTGCCAGCCTTTCTGCGACGGGCACTCTGAGTCTTTCCACAGCCCTGCGTTATTCAGCAGGCATTTTCAAAAGGCTGGGCTGACAGCTACGTAGTGTTCTCATTGTGAAGGCCTACGCCTTGCACCCCAGCAGGTAAGCGCATTCAGGGACCATGCATTTGCTGGATTGTTTTCACTGTGATCAACAACACTATTTCCAAGCATGACCTTGCACAATTAGTTTAGGCAATTCTTTCGACAAACGACCTCTCCAAGGGTAGTCGAGGCCATCTTCATTGCACGCACTCCCCGAGTAATGCATACAGTGATATGCCACATGCAAAATGCAAAATTACATCGCAACATGTAGTACACAAGCTGTCAGCACAGCGTTTGCACCCTCATCGCTACCGGCTACACTGCGTAGGCACAAACTGCTGACTGTAGGAATCGTCAGGCCCCAGAGACTTGCACTCATGACACAACTCCCACGTACACAGGGTACAGAAGGACACAAGCAAATGGAAGACAAAATGTAACAGAGGGTAAGGAAAGGAGACAGGGAGCGATGGAGGGAGGGAAAGCAAAGTGTACAGAGGGGATTAAGGAACGAAAACAAGAGGAAATACCGAAGGGTGCATATCTCTAACATCAAACAGCTTAAAGATTTGTGAAGACGAAGAAGAAAACGGAGGGGTGGGGGGGGGGGAACAGACTCACTTCTCTGAGTTTTGTCCCTACTACCCTCCCAATCCCCAGCTCATCAAGGCCTGTCTGGGTTGGCCTCCGAAGGGCAAAAAATGTCCGAGACATTTTTGCAGGGGTGGTCAGGACCTAAAAAAACCACCTGGGCACCACCGATATTATTTCAATTTTTCACTTTTGTTTTTGGAAGGGGGGGCATCCAAACCTACCAGAGCAGACACCGGACCATGGTACAAAATAGACACAGGAAAACAGGAGAGAAACACTTAAAAGAAGAACAGACAGATAAGGGAGAGGAGAGGAAATGAAAGAAAGCAAATGAAAGGAAAATAATAAAGATAAGGGAAAAACAAAGCAAACGCAACGAACAGGCAGGGAATGAAACGGGTGAAGGCAACAAGCAACAAAATGAAACGGACGGAAAGAGGCAGAATGGATGACAGAAACATGTACAATAGAGGAAAGAAGATGGAAGAGATGCTATGAAGGACAACGATAGAAGATAACGAGGAGAAAAGGAGAGGAAATGGAACCGCCGGACACATCAAAGGCAAGGAAGGAAAACAAAGGAAATGGGGGGGTACAGAAAGATCGATAGGAGAAACAAACCAACCTAATGAAGGAAGCAAAGGGAGGCAAGGAAGAAGTCGAACACAACAAGGACAAATGAAAAATAGACGACCATCAAACTAGATCGACTATAGATCCCAGCAAAGGAAAGAGTGAAAAGAGGAAAGCACAAAAGGAGACCACAGAAAATGGACAAATGGAAAATGAACAGAAAGGGTCTACACCAACCGTCTACTTAACCATGCTCAGTTCGGGGAGCAGTACCCATGCTCTTCACACCTGGCGTGGGCTGGAAAGACCAGTCACCACTTCCGCAACCAGCCAGGAGGGTCAAGCCGACTACCTCAATCGGTGTGCCTGAAGTATCCCACACATTAGGCTAGGGAATATAAGCTATTTTGAAGTATTCAATAGATTGATATGATATCTATTCTATGCATAGAATAGATATCTATACTGTAAATATATATCTATAATATCTATAGACAATACAATATTCAACATTTATACAATATTTATTCATTTATATAATTAAAACCAGGCACGAGAAGGCAACATGATGGGAAGAGATGGGACTGTAATGCGCCAGGAAAGCAAGGGAGGGATGGGGAAGGTAGACGCTACGGCATTGGAAATGAAGATTGGGGGGAGGGGGGGGGGGAAGGCGGCGGCAGAGATGCGGTATCTGCATTGCTGCTGTGCGGTTTAGTTGGGACATTTGGTGCATATCTGTCTGGTCGAGAAGGGTGATTTGGAAAATGAGTGAAAGGGAGGGGGGGGTCAAGGGAAGGAATGACAAGGTAGAGAAGAGAAAGATGCATAGGAAAAGCAAGGAAGGGACCTAAGGACAGAGGGAAGAAAGGGAGCAGACAGCATCAGAAACAGGCAAGGACAGAGAGGAGGCCAAAGGCAGGGGGCGGAAGGGGGAGAGAGGCGCATGGGGGTCAAGTGAAGACAGCGGGCGTGAAAAAAACGAGTAAAAATTCGGACAGAGCCCATACTCACTCTCTGGTCGCACAAACCTTAACCCCCCCCCCTGCTCCATACACACATAAGAGAGATGACGATAAAAGACTTAGAACAGAAGGCAGACACGCTTCGAACACACAAAATTGCCAGAATCTAGTTATCCGTGGAGCCAAATGCGTCCAACGAACACTCAGTGGCAATACCAATGCTTTGTCACATATGCTCTTCTGCTCCCTCTTATTCAAGGAAGAATAGTGCATCCCTTCACTCTATTATTGTTCCTATTGTTTCTGGTAATTCAGAACTAGACGAGGGGAGAGAAAAAAAAGCGAGCATGGAACAGACAGCACAATCACATAGCAGAGCAAAGAGAAGCAAGAAGAAAAGGTCCAGGAACAGCATGCTGTAGGAGGAGGAGACATGAGGATAGAGACGCATTACACACTGCGCTGCACACAAGAGCAGCACGGCGAAACCCAACACCAATACGGCATACATAAATCAACTACACTACTTTAGGGAATTGCAGCCTGATAACGATCACAAGAGGCCTCCGTACGTTAACTGTCCAACATACATTCAGGAAACAAAAACACTGTATACACACCTCTCCGCAGCGATAGCATTGACTGCTTGCCCTGCCGCGAGAACCACTCCATGTATCACCATACGACTGGCGATCGTCACGGTCCTTGAAACTTGAATACCCCTCAGCCCTCTCCTGTGATTCACCTTCTCGCCGCCTTTCAGATGGCCGCCTTGCCCCTCCTGAAACAGCTTGCGTAACTGCGAGCTTCTGAAAGAGTGACAAAAGCAAGAAGACAACAGACCCCACAGACCATACTCTCAGAACCCCCACAGACCATAATCTCTGTGGCACATCATAATTATCCACACTGCACAGTACAGACAAGGCCTGGAAAACTGGAGCACCATCAATTCACTTTACAGAACACACATGGAGGGTACGCAAAAGAGAGAAAAGTGCCTCTGCACCGAGAACTTGACCTCCTCGATTGTTATCCTACACACACATCATACACAAGGAGGCGTCCACAGTAGGATAGAAGTTGGGGCCTGGGGTATGATTCGTTTCTAGAACCTGTGACAGCAGAGTTGTGACAGTCTGCCAGGAAATTTTGTCACCCCAGGTCCTGAACACTGAGCCAGACCCCTCATTCATAAAAGCAAAGGCTGGTCCAGTCGTCTAGTCCCACAAGCACGTAGTCTTCAGCTGGGGGTACACGCATGGTGATTGGAATCTCACTGCATTCCAGCCAGCAACTAGCGCTCCCTGTCATTGCAGGGAGCAACAACCGATGCAGACCCCAGGCCAAACAACGTGATAACGAGAGCAAGAAGAACACCTATGCAGAAGCCGAGGTAACAGCATACAGTAGCATCGATGTTGCAAGTAGAGACATCCATCGCTGACGGTCAAGAAATTCTCCGCACATGTGATTCTCCCCATCTAAAGCGGAGTTAGATACCAGGAAGACAACCATCACAGCTTCCCATTCGCAGCTTCACTACTTTTAGAAGTCTCCTACGGCGCAAACACACGACTGAGAACATACCTAAACTACTCCCGTTTCGTCTTTCCAACTAACGTCTGAGGTTTCCGGTGTCCACATTATCTGCAACTGAGAGCAACCCCCCACTTCCTCCACCCCTGTAAACCCCACAGGCCGGCCCAGCCACAGAGAGAGCATCCTCTACGGTGCCTGCAAACCTGTTCTTTGCTCTCAGCATGATTGTCATCAGAAAGTTTCGAGCAGATACAAATTCGGATCCGTATCCACATTTTCCGGAAAGGAAAAACAAAAAGAGATAGTACAAGCTCCACAGCAAGTGTGCACATATGAATGTGCAGCATACTTGCGGCACATCGCATGTCATGCATGCACGTGGTGCGCTGCAAGACCTAAATTCGGGGTCCCAGGAAAAGAAAAACAAAAAGTTCGGGGGGGGGCTAAACCTCATTTCCCTACGCACCAAAAAATATCCAACGAGCAGCAAAAAAAAATTTGCGGCCTGCGCCAAGGCCCGACAAAAAATTTTGAGGGAAAGGAAGCCAACTACGAATTTAACTAGTTTCGAAGTTGGCAGTACTTTGACCCCGGCTTGGCCTGAACAATTCTTTTCCGTTCGCCGCCTCATGCCCCTCCGTTGAGCCTTTAGCTATGTGTGTCGTCCCACCAGCGGAGTGCCATCATGCGCCCTTACTCTGTGGTCCAGCCGCTTCCTCCATAGCTGGCGACCTAACTGAGCAGGCAGCAGCAGCGACAGCAGGGTCACACAGCAGGGGCGGCTAGAGTCAAGGAGGACAGCCAAGCAGGTGGGTGACCACCAGCCCTCTCTCCCTCTCTCTCTGTCTCTCTCTCCTCCTACATGCCTGCTCCATCGTCCATCCTCGCTCCATCCTGGATTCTCCCCCTTATGTCTGCACCACCTTTCTCTCACCTCCTTCCTCCCTCCTCGACTTCCCATGATAATGGCCTCCTAATTCTTTGCCTCCATCATGCGTCCTCCCTCCTTTGAATCTGCACCGGCCTTCTCTCACCTCCTACTCCTGTCCTCCTTCCCTCCTCAACTTCCCACAATCACAACCCCTTCCCACCTTCCTCCATCATCCATTCTCCGTTCATCGAATTTGCACCACCTTTCTCTCACCTGCTTCCTACCTTCTCGACTTCCTATCATCACGACCTCCTACCTCTCCCATTCATCATTTGTCCTCCCTCCTACGGATCTGCGCCACCTTTCTCTCACATCCTACCCCCTTTCTCCGCCCTCCGCCTCGACTTCCCACCATCACGAGCTCCTCCCACCTTCCCCCATCATTCATCCTCGGCCCATTGAATATCTGCCACCTTTGCCTCACCTCCTTCCTCCCTCCCCAACTTCCCACCCTTCTTCCCCCCTGCTCGACTTCCCGGCATCACGACCTCCTCCCACCTTCCTCCCTACTCAACTTCCCTTTTTTTGCTGTTTTCCATGAACGCAATATTTCGAATTTGCTGGTACCTTCTCTATCACCTCCTCTGCACGTGCACCCCTCCCTCCCCTCCTTCCTCCGTAATCCCTCCTCCCTCCTACCCTCCACCTTCGGCCATACGTCTGTCCCCCACAAGCCACCTTTCTATCACCTCCATTCTCCTTCCCCGCACCAGGCCATCTGTCATACCTCCCTCCTCCTCATGCCACATATCTCCCACCTCCTTTCTCCTTCCTTCCTCCTCCTTCCGCCATACCTCCCTCCTCCTGCATCACCTTTCTCCCGCCTCCTTTCTTCTTACTCCCTCATCCAATATTCTTCGACTTTCCATCGCCGGTCCGCCATTCCTCCCTTCTCCCCCTTTCCTCATACTTCCACCCCTCGCCTCCCGTCTCCTTTCTTCTTCCTCCCTCATCCGATGTTCTTCGACTTTCCATCCCCGGTCCGCCATTCCTCCCTCCTCCCCCCTTCCTCAGACTTCCACCCCTCGCCTCCGGGCCCCCTTCTCTTCGATTTTTGGGGCTTCATCACTCATTTCTAGTAGCATAGTGCGCCAGCCTACATCCTCCCACTTTCCACCATGCCATCATCCTCCGTTCACCCTTGTTCTTCTGCCAAACCCCCTCCTTCCTACCTCCATCGCCGCCATTCTTCCCTGCCCTACCATTCCTCCCCCATCCCTCCTTCCGCCATACCTCCCTCCTCCTGTGTCACCTTTCTCCCGCCTCCTTTCTTCTTCCTCCCTCATCCGATGTTCTTCAACCTTCCATCCCCAGTCCACCATTCCTCCCTCCTCCCCCCCCTCCCTCATACTTCCACCCCCCACCTCCCAGCCCCCTTCTTGGCTTCAACAGTCATTTTGAGTAGCGTAGTGTGTCATCCTCCATCCTCCCACTTTCCGCCATGCCACAATCCTCCATCCACCCTCCTCCTGCCAAACTCCCTGCTTCCTACCTCCATCACCGCCATTCTTCCCTGTGCTGACATTCCTCCCCCATCCCTCCTCCCGCCCCCATCACTTTCTATTTTCTATTTCTATTTGTTATATTTGCCATTTATTTTGGACTTTGGCACTAGGCTACCATCCGGGCAGCCCGGGTCACCTTGTTTACCCGGGCAGCCCGGACATGTAAGGATCCGGGAAGGTCCCAGCAAAAGAAAAAAAAAAAAAAGTTGCCTTCCCAATGGAAGAAATTGAGGGGCTAAGCAGTCCTACACCCCTCGTTGCTTTCCCTGATATTTTGTTCGACAAGGCAGTTAATCCGCCACATAGTTGGGGGCTCAGCCTTCAGGACAGAAAAGGCAGCAGCAACAGGCAAAAAGACAATTTTGAGCCCACACCGGTCCATTTCCTTTTGGATGCCGCAGAAATCTGGATCCGGAAAAAGAGGCTTGGAAGAACCGGTGGTTTACCACATCAGCAACTGCCCGATAGAGCGCCTGTATAACAAAGTTGCCTTTTCTCCCGTTCTCGCCTCCATTGTTGGGAATCAAGGGCTACGTACTACTGAACACTCACCATGAAGTTTTTCAACGGAAGACAGGGGTCCGTGAAGCCTCATTGAGGACAGAAAACAAGCTCTAACAGCCACTACTTCGTCAAAAATAGAGCCAACCCCTTCCACGAAGCTTGGGGCCACCTGATTATCGACCCACACCACAACTTACCACTGTGGCTGCAAAAGAAAGAGAGGGAGCCCACACGCTTAACCTCCATTATCGGCACACGGGGAGCAGATGCACATGTGCTACAGATCGCACCACCAGGTTAAACCACCAATTCACACAGACCAATTTCTGAAGGATATTATCCAACAGAGTACGAATCAAACCGGCCACACGCAGGCCAGTGCATCAAAATCACAAAGCCCACATGCACAGGGTCACAACTTTTGGAGAAAGGGCCTTCCAGTGGTGGTTTAAAAGCAACTGCTTATTCTCCATCTCTGCAACAATGAAGCCAGGTCTAAGGACAGCGAAGCTGCTACCATTCCATTTTTTCCAAAACCGAATGATCTAGAAATCATTCGCACTCATGCACACCCGTCGGAGCTTCCATCTGTACACGATCAAGATTTTTCCCACCAGCCCAAACGTGATCTTGTGCAACTACACAGCAATTCACAGAGCTATCCAACTAGTGCTAATCTGCGGGCTGCATCACGAGGATAAGCTTTGCTTCTAGCTTTGGAACAAACGGCAACATAAAAACTATACGATTCCTGCATCAGGGACACCGCATGGTTCCTGTGTCGAGGAAAAATGCATTAACATCTGAGACTTTCAAGAAGACAACACCAGATGTGATCATCAACGCTCAGGCCAACGGATTCAACACCACAAAGGCAACATCATTTTTCAATACAACTGAAAAAAAGAAAAAAAAACACAGATGGTCAGGCATCACTCCAGTCACAGCAAGCAGTTGCAGACATTATCATGAAGCAGCTGACTCACATGCAAGCATGACAGCAAAGAGCCACACAAGAATTTAATGTTCAGTCAATCCCAGTGCAAATGCACGCACACATAAACTGGTCACAGCAACCGGCTAAGCAACAGCTACTGGACATCATCAGGCAAAAAATGCCTCCTTACTACCAACATGACCATCACAAACAGTACTTGATACATCAGCCCCTGTATAACACATATTTAAAGTTTCTGAATCGATGGGCACTGTATTGTTTAGAATTGGATAAGATTCATATAACACATAGTGACACAACAGAGGATCCTATATACGTAACGCACCATTTTACATCTCTCTCTCTCTCTCTCTCTCTCTCTCTCTCGGTTGCAATCCCATTGGGCCGACAAGCCCTATCAAGTGACTTCTCGTAGGCCCCATAGCGCATCAGAGAAGTCACCTTCACTATCATTTCCTCTGGTGAAAAAACATTGTGCTCCTTAAGCTCTTCTCCAGGCCCAGTGGATCACTATCCACTGTCAGGCCCAGGCCCAGTGGATCACTATCCACTGTCAGGCACAGTACAGTTCCAGGCCTGCCTGATAGAACTGCAGTGACACCTCTCAGCACAAGCTAACAGTCGATTGTATAGGACCAATGCAAGGCCAGTCACAATATTCTGTCACAGCTCAACTACCAAAGACCGTTGTTTATGTTGCCCTAAATCAAACCCCAGGTTGGGGTACACAGAAAAGCTTTTCTTTTTGTGATCCTGGAAGCAAAATCACCACGCTCTCTGCTACCTTTTCCCTATTTTCCAAGATACTACACCCTCGCTGCTACCTTTGCCTCAAAGTTATCTGACCTTCACCCATACACACCACCGGCTCGGTTCATTACACCTTCTCCTACATGAACTTTCTTCTACAACAATTACTCCTCTTCCGCTCTGCAAAGATGGCACAAGCTATATGATGTCATGACCCCCCACACAGCCATCAATTCTTCAGCAGGCTGGCTTCCACCACACACTTCAGCATCCAGTCTTTCCACTCTACAACCATGATCAGTCAATTCTGCCTTATAACTGTCCACGGCCATAAGGTAGTTCCCCCCAAAATCTGTGAACCAAGGCACCTAACACGCGTCACATTCACAGATATGAGAAGTAGCCGTCCGAAAAAATGGACGTCTATGATAAAACCCAGAGAATGACTTAGACAAGAAATGATAAAACCCCCCAAGGGGCAGGGAGGTGTGTGGGGAGGGAACAGGTCGGCAAGGACAACGGATGAGCTCTTTCTAGGGTCAATGGCCCTATCTGGCAGATCTGGAATCCAGGTCTGAGAGGAAAGAGAGGGACAGGGCAAGCTGACAGTCAATCCTCCACCGCGGTGGAGCAATCAATGCTGTTCAGGGGTCCTTCGGCCTGACGGAAGGAAGCGTGTGTGAGTGTTTATTGATGTAATGTACATTGTGACTTGCCGGTGGAATAGGAACCGGACTGACGCTCCCCAGAATAGAAGGAGCCAGGACCATAAGGCCCTGTTAAAATAAAAAAAAAAAAAAAAAAAAAAAAGAAAGAAAGATAAAACCCAGAGAATGACTGAGACAAGAATGAAGAAGATGAACATGGAGAAAGTAAAAGATGGAGATATGCTCACGTTAACACTTTCTAAAAGCTGATATTTTCTTGTTTCCTTCTGTTCAACCTTGTTCATTAATAACAGGCAAACAGATTGGAGACTTCATGCCATCACCTCATAACCAACAACCGTCAGATGATACAAATGGTGAAAATGATGAAAACTTTCCTGACGAGTTCCAAGTAGACAAACCTCAATTTATACGACAATAACAGCCCCAACCAGGCGCACAGCTTTCAACACCAGGACCCAATGTCAACCTTTATCACAGTTAGCCTGGCATTAATGATATCCAAGTGCCCGTCATCAATGATGCCCAGCTTGAAAACCACCAGATATCACACAACCAAAGACGGATGGATTTGCGTGTGTTCTGGGAGTTGGGTAGGCAACCACGCAAAGCACCCAGAATAAAAATGCCTCAGAAGTTGCAAAGAACACAACCAAAGACGGATGGATTTGCGTGCGTTCTGGGAGTTGGGTAAATGCCTCAGAAGTTGCAAAGAACAACAATCTCAAAAGTCAACTGTGAAATCTACTCTAGCATGCACAACCGGGGTCCATAGACTGACGGAAAAGAGAGTAGCAAGGACAAGATTTGGTGAGCAGAGACACTTCATCAATCCAAAAACAGACGACGGAAGCGGGCACTACAGATTAAGGCCTCAGGAAGGTTGCCCCAGAAAGGCCGTGCAAAAATGTTTCATGTACATAATGGGACTTGACATGGAGCTTGCTTTGCATTCAGCAATCTCAATGGTGGTCAACTGGCCGACAGCATGTACCTGCAGTAAAGATGCCTCCTGAGGTTACAGAAGCTGTCAGATTAGGATGAAATCCATCTCAGCCGTGCAATTGTTCAATTCGGCAGGTAAGGGGGAAGCATTGTCACCCTACCAACAGAGCATTTAGCAAAGACTGAAGTAAATGGTGTGTGGGGCAGAAACTCGTCAATTTTTACCTCGAAGGAAGCAAGCAAGTCCTCGAGCTGCTTTTCCTTCAGTGCAACTTCTTCACGGAGAGCTTTGATTTTGACAGGGTCAACCTCTGTCTCCAGCTCTCTCTTTGCAAAATTAAGCTCTCCTTCAACGGCTTTCCTCTCCTCCCTCTGTGCATCGGTCAGCACAATCTGCAACACCATAGACAAAACACCATACGAGCGCTTTCAGAATCGCAACACTCGCCAGCACAATGCACGAGACGAAGCGATACGCACAGCACATTCTAACTGAAACAACATATTACGACCTACGTAGATCACCATACATCAGTCTGCCCCCAACATATTCAGAGCCAGGACACTCGCCAGCAAAAGGGGGGCAATGCAGGAGACGAAATAATGCACACAGCACATTCCATTTAAAACAACGCATTACCACCTTCGTAGATCACCATACATCAGTCAGACTCCACCATACAACAGAAGCACGGTGTTTGGACTAACCAAGGTAAAGACACCACACAGTGATACCGCTAAAAAGCAGCATGTCAACAACAAGTGAATATGGGTTTTAAGGGAGCCACTCTGAACACAAAACAATCAGTTTGCTAAACTCAAGCTGTGCGCATGAAGGGCCAACCTTGACTGCAACGAGATGCAGTGGCACTAGATGCTTGGGCAATACCTCTCTCTCTCTCTCCCTCTCCCTCTCTCTCTCTCTCACACACACACACACACATCCACCAGATGTCAGAATATATAAACAAGCATTATAATCCCAGAGAAATGTGGGCCACACATCAAAAGTGCAGAAACAGATACTTACATTTGGTTTCCATTCTTTTGCCGCTAGCTCCTTGAGCAATTCCGACTCTGATTTCCCTTCCCTCTCTGCAATTACTCGCTCCCGAGGCCGAGCAGCTCCAAAAGGATTGGGCTGCAACAATATCTCAAGACGCAACAAAGTACCCCACAGCGTCAACAAGTTGCCCACGCCAACCACATCCCACCTTTGCATGACAAAAACAGTGAGCTGCCGCTATCAAACACCTTTCCCCTCCTTACCTCTTTACATCAGAACATCCATCCATGATTTTGTCTTCCGTAACATGATCACATCAATACCAGCATACTTGAAATCTGGTCTCTAGAGGAGATGGGCTGCAATTCTTCTTTTGGCACAAAGGTCATCATCTTCAACATCCACCGGCATCAATTGATGCTGTCGACACTCAATGAAGACCCACATAACAAAAAAGAAAAAGACGATACCGATAGTTCTCATGTGTCAACAACTGCTTCACACATTCTATATACTAGACCATCTTTCGATTTCAGGTCCGAGGTAACAGCTCAAAGCGCCCGTACATGGCCCCAGCCACGTTGAGAGTCCAATTGAGCGTCTCCTAAAAATTAGGAAGCTTACACGCCGTCCATCAAATAGATCCACGGCGGGCAGCCTCCGAAAGGGGCCCGCGGTCGATGGCTGGCATGTAATCGGTTCATAAATCATTTTATAGTATTTATACATTACGAATAGGACTGCCTGCATCAGTTTAACTGTTCCACACAGAGATTACGAACACGGTCAACAACCAATCAAAGTACCTCTCCAATGCCTGCACCATACGTTGGTTATGCTATTGAGGCTACAAACAATATCAACTAGATAATCCATCCACATAATACTAATACTAGTCATGAATAATACTCCTCTCAAACAATTAAGAGGATATTTCCATGCTGCTAACCTCAAACACGACGGGGGTTCAGCCTATAGTACAGAAAATAGAAAACCCCTTACGTTGCCTGCAGTACAACTAAAACAGAACCCCTGAAGCCCTTGGCCTAGTGCACAATAGAGGCGAGTCCCAGCTCCGACCAATCCACTACCGTAAAGAGGTACGCACAACCCATATATGTGCCAGATGTTTTTTTTTTTTTTTTTTTAGTTGCAAGCTATCACCTCTGGCAAGACTGGTCCGTTTCTTAGAAAAAGGAGCGGTGTGCTAACAGCAGACCACAGACTGAGAAAAAGAAAAAGGGAAACTCTCTGAGAAAGATGGGACTTCCAGCCTACTGGCTAAACGTCGCCATGGACGCCCAAAACAGGAAAAAAACATCATGAACTAAACGCATATTCGAGAGGGGGGCAAAGGGGGGGGGGGAAGGGAAGAACAAAACAAATAAAAGAAGTCCCTCGCCATTTTTCATTTTTTTCTCCTTCATTTTGTAGTGGTTCCGCCTACCGGTGCACAAGGGAGCTGACCATACACCACCATAGCAAACCGAGCGCAAACAACAAGCACCTTCTAAAGAAAGGAGATGGCATACTAAACAACAACGACTACCTGTCTTCCGCGGAGCACAATGCACCCTCGTCGTCACTGCATGGGACCGGAAAGATACCTTGAATACATTCATGATCACACTGGCTTGTGTTCAGGCGAAGTCAGTGCTCAAGCACCGGCTGCAGCAAGTGTGAAAAGAGTGACAAAGACTGGCAAAATAGTGAAAAACAGTTGCAGAGATATTGCAGACGCTCACCAAGGACGTGTATATGGTTAGTGATAGCTTTGGCAGATAGACTAAAACCCCATTACACTGGAAAAGACGCTTCGCATTAAACTGGAAAAGCGTCATCTCTAAGACTGATGTAAAAGGAGAGAGCTTCACCCAGGGCCATCTCCAAGACTGATGGAAAAGGAGCGAGCTTCACCCAGGGCCATTTTCATAAGCTTATGGGGCATACTCGAGAGTAACGCGTCTCTTGAGTGAACTGTGCTACCATATTGTCGACTGCAACAGCCGGGACCCCATTTGCTTCTGCTATGCCATTTGCCATTTCTTTGTGGTTTACATATCGAGCCATAGCAAATGACGCAGCCATAGTGGCTATGGCAAAGCACATAGACATAGCAAACGACATGGCCATAGCAAACGACATTTGACTGGCATAGACATAGCAAACGATTTGGCCGTAGTAAACGACAAACATAGCTATGGCAAATCGGACTTCAACCGCTGGCTCTCTAGGTGTAAACGAGGCACTCTACCAACTGAGCGAATTACCCAAATGTGATATTCCCAATGGAAAGCGCCTTTCTTCCATTCATAAACAAGACCAATAGTTGGGCCATAGCAAAAAACGTGGCCATAGTGAGACGGCTACCGGATATGCATTTGCTATGTCGGCCGCGAGTTCTTTGTGATTTACACTGTCGAGTCATAAATAGCAAACAAGAAGGCCAGCCATTGACATAACTAGNTTCTTTGTGATTTACACTGTCGAGTCATAAATAGCAAACAAGAAGGCCAGCCATTGACATAACTAGTAAATGCCATAGCCATAGCAAACGGCATGGCCCTAGCGCGAGGGCAACCGGATTTGCTCTGGCTATGTCGTTTGCAATTTCTTTGTTGTTTACACTGACGAACCATAGCAAACGACATGGCCATAGTCAACGACATAGCCGTGGCAAACCACATAGCCGTGGCAAACAACGTAGGTATACCGTTTGCCGTGTTCATGTTGCATGCAATCGACTGAAAGCGAAAAGAAGAGACAGACAGACGGACGGACGGAGAGACTTCTGCCTCCACTTCACAACGCCCGCTCCCAAAAACATTGAGACAACTGCAGGAAAAGAAAAAAAAATTCAACACAACTGCAGATTTATTGGAGTAAATGTTTACAAGACAGCAATTTTCAGGGACATGTAGGGACATTTATGATAATCGCGATGCCCCAAGCCATCACCCTACCTACCGTCGACAGGTCCACCCCCCCAAAATTGAATTAACCATCATCCTCATCCGCACAATATAGCCGTTCCCAACTAACCAAGATGCGATCGTTAATTTCAGATTCGCGCGAACTGTTTAAATCATAATGTTATCCTCTTTATAGTAGAGGCCCTACTAAAACAAAACAACCAGTCACGCGTGCCCAATATTTGTGACCTTACCCGCTAAACGAATGCAGTCCACCGTAAGAAACACTTCACGTTCTCTTTTACGTTACTTATAGAATAAACTATCGTCTTCCCCCGAACACAACGCACCCTCATTTTGGCTGTATCTGGCCGGGAATATAGCTTGTATACATTCATTTTTAGGGTGCGTTATGTTCGGGGGAAGACGGTAGGGCATTGCTCAACGCAGCTGGCCCTCTTTACGACCAGACCTGGACGCATCGCACCGCACTTATGACAAAAGATAAATTGAAAGTCCTACCTTCTTCCCCCGAATACAACGTACGTTCATTCTAGCTGCATCTGGACTGAAAGATGCCTCAAATACAGCTATAATGTCCGTTCGTTGTATTCGGGGAAAGAAGGTAGTGTGAGTATGCCTTTCCTTTTAGTTGTTAAACAACGCAGGGAAGCGAAGGATCCATTTCTTCCTCACACGAACACGATGTTCCTGCACTCGCTCTCTCTCTCTTCCCTATATTCATCTACACGAGACCTCTCGCCCTGATTCACTCCCTCTTCCGGTTGAGAAATCTCTCTCCAAATGACAGTTGCACTTGCACGACAAAAACAAAAACACCTTCACCCACCCCCTCATTCCCCCCTGCCCCCCCCCCCTCCCTGGTCATACTTCCCCCCCCCCCCCCCCCCTCCACGAGCAACGTCTTGCCAAACGACGAAACCCTTCAACCCGCCTTACCCACCTTCGGCATGCGTATACAAACCGAGCCAAGAGACTCTAAAGCCAACCCCTCTGTGTGTGTCTGCCCTGCCTCCGGCTCCAAGGGCAGCGAAGTCATCACAGAAGAAGACATCCCTACGCCCGCCTGTCTAACATTCCCGCCACATTCCCGCCTTTTTAACATTCCCGCCTTTTTAACATTCCCGCCTTTTTAACATTCCCGCCCTTTCCACATTCACCACCGTTGGCGCGCAATATGTAAAATCACCGACCCCAGAGTCAAGAGCCAAGACCGACAAAGTAAAAAAGGAGGGGGAGAACTTTGCCGCCGCAATATGTATAATCACGCTAGCGTGTTTACCTATTTATACCCGTCAAAAGGGTGTCGACAATGGTAACGCTACTTATTTTGTTTTAAAAAATAAATCAAACAAATAAACAAGAACTACGAAGTGTCGCCAAGGCGGGAAAAAAAATTGGAGGATACTTTCCAATGGGCAAAAAGACACCACAAAGCACCGTTTCCCATCTTTCTCTCTCTCTCTCTGTGTCTTTGGGTGCCAACTTGTCAACAACCACAACGGAAGCGTGCTTTGTGGTGTCTTTGACCATTGGAGGGGATGGGTAGCCAGAGCTCTGGCTACCCATTTGTTCCTGGAGGTTGAAATCCTACGAGCCCGCCCGAGCGGTCATCATCACGTTAAAAATGTTCGGTACAGTGGTGGCACACGGCCGGAAAACGGCGAGAGAAACGCAGTTTGACAACGAGACCATCCGTTTGGCCTTCTTCTCATCAACATCGCAAGTCTTAGGGGCCTCGTCACACGGCACACGACACGGAAAAGAAGAACCAATGCATCTTCACACAGCAACCGGGAAGATTCATCCGTTACTACGTGAATAATAACGAATGTATCTTGCCAGCTTCTGTGGGCAGCTGCACTCGTTCTTCTCCCGCTTCGTCTGCCGTATGGCGAGAAGACCCTTACTACGTAGAAGAAGAGACCTGGTAAGAGGATAACGATGCTCACTCCTGCTCACTCCTCTGGCTTGCCTACCCTAAGTCACAAGCCTACTGCAAGACGTCACATGCATTCAAAATTGCTAGGTACTACACATACTACCGGTAGACAGCACACGGATTTCTACGATTAATCGAGAGGAACAAAAGTTAGCACACGGGTTGATGCAGAATTTGACCGAGAAAACCACCAAAGGCGTAGCTTAAGACTAAATAAACCGCTTCATTTATTTTATTGGTCGAGGAACTGCCATCCCTCC